GGAGCCCGCGGGTGCGAGGCCCTTCTCCTGACGGAGCCAAGCTGAGCAGTGGAAGCGTCCCTGGATGTTGGCCGTGGCGAGCCGGCCGTACGGGGGCTGCTTCAGGGCGAGTCTTGCTGTCCCAGAACAGTCTCTCCTGCAGCGTCTTCTCACATCTCTAAACTTGTTTCTCTTATGAGTTTTATCCAGCAGACGTTTACTTTCAGTATTCCTTGTTGTAGAACAAGGAAATAGCATGACCTTAGTCCTGAACTTGTTTGCTTACAATCTTGAGGTTTCCCAACATCACAAGTAAATTTAAAAAAAAAAACCAAAACCAAAACAATTGATCGCTAAAGATTGTAAGGGCAGGGGGCTTTTATAGATGGCTTGGTGACAGTTTTGACTGGTGCCCATTGCTGTAGGGCATTGAGGTAGATTTAAACACAGAGCTATGAAATGCAGGGATCTACTAGGAAAGAACTGGGTAACTCAAAGCAGCTTGAGCTCATGACAGTCCGTATAATGTTTAGGGGAAAACTATAAATGCCTTTTTTTTTTGGTAAGGCTTAGAAATATTAAGTTCCTCACCAGTTACCTTCTCTGAGACTTGCTTCTGAGAGCCTCCCTAGAAACAATTTCCTGAAGTTCTGAGAAACCAAACTGCTTCTTTCTGAGCACTGAAAATTGCGCCGCTCATCGGGCCGCTGTGAAAACTTGTCTCCTGTGCAGGGTATAAAAGATACTACACTAAATACATCGACGTCAAGAAGGGAGGCCTGGGTGGTATCTCCATGCTGCTTGCTGGTTATGTTGTTGTCAGCTACATCTGGAGCTACAGCCACCTGAGTGAGTAACAGCCGAGCGGGTACAGTCCAGCTGGGGCAACAAAACCAGTTCCTCTGCTGCTGCTTTTAGAAATAAAATAAAATAAGACTGTGTTTACTACACTAAATACATCGACGTCAAGAAGGGAGGCCTGGGTGGTATCTCCATGCTGCTTGCTGGTTATGTTGTTGTCAGCTACATCTGGAGCTACAGCCACCTGAGTGAGTAACAGCCGAGCGGGTACAGTCCAGCTGGGGCAACAAAACCAGTTCCTCTGCTGCTGCTTTTAGAAATAAAATAAAATAAGACTGTGCTAACCACTGGTGCTTGAATCCAAGACCATGGACAAGCAAACTTCTTTTAGCTGTAAACTTGAATGCTTTTAGGAAGTTCTCAGATAAGTGTTTTCTTGATGACAAAGTAAAGTTCAATCTTGTTGCCCACTTGATCTGACAGTGCTTAGAAACAACACGCTCGGGTGTTTTCTCTCCTGTAATTTGAGGTGTGGTGGGTTTTGTTCTTGTGACTTTAGTGACATTAACTTGCTTTTCTCTGAATGACACAGAGCATGACCGCCGCAGGAAGTACCACTGAAGCAGGAATCTCAGAGAGTGGAGGCACAGCCCTCAGACTTTGCTACCAGGACAGTGACCCTCACAGAAAATGTCCAAAAGATTCATATTAAAATCTGTACTATTATGACCAATAATAAAGTGCATACACTTCATGTTTACTGAGGTGATGCTCTCAGAACTGACTTCATTGTCCTGTGCAAGTGAGTTTTGTCTTCTTAGAATCTCAGCCCTCCAGGACAAGTCCAGAGATGGATGGCTGGGAAAGTAGCTGCTGCTTGAGCTGTGTTACAAACTGGGGAAACTGTTACCACCAGTTCCTGTTTAGCTGCTTGATAGGCCTGAAAAGCACTGGATTTCTTAACAGCCAATGTACAGGTTGGACAATCAGCTGTAATCATAGAATCATAGGGGTTGGCTTAACAGCCAATGTACAGGTTGGACAACCAGCTGTAATGGTGTATTTTGACTTGAAAGAAGAATATCTGAGGTTTTGGTGGGTTGCTGGCGTGGCCACATTTCTGATTCACAGTCAGACTGTCACCAGGGGGCTGGGGATATTTGGGCAGTTTTCCATTGTTGTCAGCACTGGTTTAACTTTAAGGGAGTCTGCAACTCCCATTCTGTCACTGGGATTTTAATGCTTCCTACCTCTGATGACCCATTTCTATCAAAACTACTTGCTTTCATTGCAAAAAGAAGCTGGAAGGTTATTCTCAAGGGGTATAAACTTAAAAGAATTAATATAACAAAGCTCCATGAAACTAAACTCAAGGAAAACATGAGCCAGCAGTGTGCACTTGCAGCCCAGAAAGCCAACCAGATCCTGGGCTGCAGCAAGAGAAGTGTGGCCAGCAGGTGGAGGGAGGTGATTCTCCCCCTCTACTCTGCCCTGGTGAGACCCCACCTGGAGCACTGCATCCAGTTCTGGAGCCCCCAGGACAAGAGGGACGTGGAGCTGCTGGAGCGTGTCCAGAGAAGGGCCACAAGAATGATCCGAGGGCTGGAGCAGCTCTGCTGTGAGGACAGACTGAGAGAGTTGGGGCTGTTCAGTCTGGAGAGGAGAAGGCTCCGAGGGGACCTTATTGTGGCCTTCCAGGATCTTAGGGGGGCCTACAAGAAAGCTGGGGAGGGACTTTTTAGGATCTCAAGTAACAACAGAACTAGAGGGAATGGGGCAAAGCTGGCAGTGGGCAGATTCAGGCTGGATGTGAGGAAGAAGTTCTTCCCCATGAGAGTGATGAGACCCTGGAACAGGTTGCCCAGGGAGGTGGTTGAGGCCCCATCCCTGGGGGTCTTTAAGGCCAGGCTGGATGAGGCTCTGGACAGCCTGATCTAGTGGGAGGTGTCCCTGCTCATGGCAGAGGGGTTGGAACTGGGGGATCCTTGTGGTCCCTTCCAAGCCTGACAGATTCGGATCTGTTTTAGCAGAGGACTTAGTAGTGTTTGCTTAATGGTTGAACTTGATGACTTAAAGGTCTCTTCCAACCTAAAGGAGTCTATGATTCTATGAAAACTTGTCTTCTAGACTGAACTGCAGCAGTGAGAGGTTTATCAGGACACATTATGTGTATGAATGCAGCTTGAGGGATCTCCTGTGGGTTTGGTCCCTGCTGCTGCCCCTCCTCACACACCTTGCCAAGCCCAGCCCCTGTCATGACCCTGCCTGCTGACCACACAAGGTTGCAGGCAGGACCTGGTGTCCTGAGCAGGAGGGAAGGTGAAAACCACTTCTAGGGGACATGAAGAACCTGAGGAGCTTTGGTGGCAAGAGGAAGGCTTGGAGCAACTCCAGCTCTCCACAGGGAACTAACCACAGTCACTCAAACCAACACAGGCTCCGCCCCCTTCTCTTAATCTAGTCATATTCCCTCCTTAAAAAAACCAAAACAAATTCACACCCAGGTTTGTCTACCAGTACATTCCAGTAAAAAGAAAGTATAAAGGCAGTCCACAAATGAGAAATGGGTTAGAATCAATAAGGCTCACATGGTAGGTGCAATTTTTTTTTGTTTAATTCACATTATCATTGGCCCTTTTGAAATAAGTCTTCTCACAAAATGAAAGGGGGGTTTTGGCTTGCCAAAAAAAAAAAAAAAACCGAAATAAAATTGCTCTCAGAACACTCTACTGCTTCTCCAAGCAGTGCTCTGTAAGAATATTCATCTCCACTTCTCTAGGCTATGGGAACACCCACTCAGAGTGAGCTGGGTGAGGGGGGGACTGAGACCACGCTCGCTTCCCACCTTGCTCTCTGCGAAGGGGAAACGAGCCCAGAGGTGGCTTTCCTACCATCATTGCTCCTCAGAGAGGCCAATTTATTCTCCCTTTGATCGGTTCTCACCCAGAAGATTAATTTCTAACCTCCAGTATAGCAAGGAGCACAGAAACAAAGCAAGTGGACGAGGGTTTTACAGCCTGGTGCAGGCCAGGCGTGATCAGCCACCGGCCGACCGACTACGGCAGGCTGGACCTGGGAACACGACTTTGCTTTTCAAGAGCCACAGGGTGGCAGAATCCCTGTTTCCTCACTGAAGGGAAGGCATTTCCAGTATTAATTTTTTTTTTCCAGTCAGTCTTCCTGCTTCCACAGGGAGGGCTGAAACGCTGCAGGTTCTCCAAAGAGAAGTGGCAGAAGGAAAATACTTTAAAGGAACACTGGCGTTAAGACGCGTTTACGTGGAGTGCTGCACCAGAGAGGGGGTTGTGCCTCTATTGGCTTTTGGAACTACCTTTCAGCAGGGCTCAATGACAACAGGCCGAGGCCCAAATCGATTTTTAAAAAGGTTAAAACATAAAAAAACCCTTGAGGACGATTACAAAAATGTTGCTTAGCAGCAGCCAGCCTCTGACCAGTTCTTTCGGTAATGGCATTAAAAAAACAACCTGATTAATAGTTCAAAACATAGCGCTAGGCAGAAACCTTTGCTCAGTGCTAACAGCTCCCCTGCACTCTTCCTTCAGCTCTTTCACTGTCCACTGAGAAAGGCCAGATGTCCTTTGGTGCATCTGTTGGCATAATGACCTTTTTCACCACACTAAAAGAGAAAGAGAGAGAGGAGTTATTCCACGGTTACAGCCCTTTGCCTCTAGCTGCCCTTCTTAAGGTAGCTGGCAATTATTCTGATTTGGAAGCTTTTCTGCATCCAGAATTTGCAGCATTTAGCAGGTGAAATGAGACACAGTGTCACAAGGGACACGATTTATGGGATACTTCCACTCCTTGGAGCAAAAGCTGCCTCTGTGCTGGGAGTAACGTGGCATCACATTATTGTAACATGCTACCAAGGCAAGAGCTCTCAGCACAGCCCCACAAACAGCAAAAGGCTGTAGCACACAAGGAGAATTTCAGCACTTGAGACTTTCCAAGGCTACTCCATCTGAGAAGCAATACATCTGGGATCCACAAGGACCCTCCTGATCAGCTACCCCGAATTAGGCAGATAACGAGCATCTGAACAAAAGATTCACAACTTGGCACCTTGAAGCTGTTCAAGCCCAGAGAGAAATGTCAGTATCTGGTGCAACAGCATTCTCCAGATGTGTAATTTATTTACAGCTAAAATAATAAGCAGCTATTAAAGATTTTTTTCTGTGAAATGGATTCAGCTACTTAATACCCCTGACCAACTGTGGTCATTTTTACCCAAACCAGCACCTCAGGCACAGAAGTTGGTATGTACCATGACATAACTGTCAGAGCTGATGGGACAGGATGATTCTTTGCCTTCTAGTGGCCAGGGTGGGGCTTTTGTGGAAAAATAAAGAGCTGGAAACTCAATTGTGTTGGAGTTTTACTGGTGCTCCTCAATGAGCAGCCAAAGTGAAGAGGTCACTCCTGGGTTGAACAGCAACAGGGTGAACTGACAGTTGAAATACTGAGCAGTCTTTGCATATTCAACTGCTGCTACTCACAAGGACCTTCCAGGCTAACAGGTGAGAAGAAAATCTTTCATTAGCCACCAAGTGTAAGCAAATTAACTCATGACACAACTAGTATTAACTCTTACTTTGACCTGCACAGTTGGACACTCTCCTCCCACCTCCCCTGCGGTGGGGTTTCCCATTTATTGACAGACAAGCAAAGCATCCTACAACAGCCCTAACTGCCCCAGTAAGGCTGAGAGCTGGCAAACCAGTGCCCTAGAGCCTTTCTTCCCCTCGTATTAACTCTTACTTTGACCTGCACAGTTGGGCACTCTCCTCCCACCTCCCCTGCGGTGGGGTTTTCCATTTATTGACAGACAAACAAAGCATCCTACAGCAGCCCTAACTGCCCCAGAGAGCTGGCAAACCAGTGGCCTAGAGCCTTCCTTCCCCTCCTCATCCCTCCCTTCTGAGTTACCTTGTAGCAGGTGACCTGCTCCAACGGCCGGGGTCCTCTGTTCCCGGTGTTGTTATTTTGAGACTGCATGACTCCAATGACTTGGGGTGTCCTCTGTTGGTTAGGAGAAGAGTTCTGGTTCATTAAGTGCATCAAGGATAAAGCCCTTTATGGTTGTTACTTTGTTAAGAAAGGAAAAGACCACCCCGTTTATCAAATGATCAATTTTCCTCCACATCTCTTTGTGGGTGTTCTGCCAGCTGGAGCACCAGAGAAGAAATCAAGCACTGAGGCTTACAAAACCCAGAGAACCTGCTTTTCCCTGGAAAACAGATTTAGAGGGTAGGTTTAGGCTGCTAAAATACCACTGCCATGACTGAGAGATGTCACACAGATTACAAAACCTGGCAGATTGCTGCACAACCACGTACGATGTGGTTCTGTGTAACGTGGGAGTGTTCTCTGACTCCACCTCCATGTAAAGCTGCAGCAGTTGTAGGGTTTTCAGCAGTATAATGGCACTCAGGGTTGCTCACTGCTTAATTCTTGCATAGCACCCTTTCAAGCAGTGCCCCAAACATGAGAATGGCCACTGCTGCCCTCTGAGCTGGAGGACTGAGGTTAACTGAGGCAAGGGGAGGAAGAGAACAAAGCAGAACAGCCCTGTCCCAGGACAGAGGCAGCAGCAGTTTGCTGTGGTCAGATGGTGGGCATTAGAGGGAGGAGAAGATGCACGAGACAGTGCTTTGAGGATTATCTGGATCTGTCTCCACGTTCTTAATTACAAAAAGAACATCACACACTGTTGTAAAACAGGAAAGGTTTTCCCTCTTTCACTATTTCTCCAAGACTTTCCAGCGAGGCAGATCCAAGAGCCCAGGTGTTCAGTTCTGACTGCTAGACAACACACCCTCTTAGGGAGCAGTGTGGGAAATGCTCTGGGGGTGGTGTGTAGGGGAGGCAGGGGAGCCGTGTACCTTTTGCTGGGTTTGTGTTGGTTGAGGCAGTGGTGGTTGCTCTGTGGTTCCCATTGGCAGTTCAAATCGAGGGCTGGGTTAGATAGAAACAAGAAAACTGATGCTTGGATCATAGGCCAACATTTTACTGCCAGCTCAGTCAAGTAACTCCAAACAACAAAATAAGCATTCAGCCAATGAAATTCAGCTCACAGGAAATACATCTCCCCTTTCCCACCTCTCTTTAGATTCCACCCTCAGCAATTACATATCCAAAACCAACAACCCCATATGTGGGTTCTTGTACATCCCTGTAGCTGTGAAGGCTCCTGGGCTATAACCCATGCGACCCCACAGCACTGCTGGCATCCCATCCCAGCTCCAGAGGCTTACTGGTGAGTCCCTGAATTGTCCCTGCCCCACATCCTCAAACGGGCACACCCAACTAAACATTGGCCACGCCTCCAAAGCTTTTGGGAAGCCCTGGAGCACCCTCACGGGACAGGTACTGCACGATGTGGGACACAAGAGGCTACAGGAGAGGCCTGGAGCATACTCACTGCATGAATTTACAGGTAGGGCCCTCGGGACAGAATCCTACCAGGTAATTCACACAAATGACTCTTCGGGTGTGTCGGTGTCGGCAGAGGGGACCTGCAACACAAAGCTCAGGAGTTCATGGTCCATATACACACACCCCAGCTCAGCAGTACCAAATTCACAAGCAGATCACCCCAAGAAAGACCAGTGACACCCTACCCATGATTTATAGCCACAGAAGCAGCAGCCCCACGAGGTACATACCATGTTTACAGAAGCCTCTGTCATACCAGGGACAGTCTTTGATCTTAGACTCCGGGTCAATGTGCAAGAATGGACATTCTTTGTTACTGCATTCCCCTGTACCAAAGGCAAACACACTCCTCAGTCAAATGAGCAGGCTCCAGAGCAAGTGACTCTCAAAACATTACCTGGCTCTTGTAGCTCCCACAAAGCTGTTACCAACACTTAGAAGCTGAGGCACAACAGCCTTGCTGCCTGCCTTAACCTGGATGAAGAACACCAGGGACTCATCCCTAGTGAGCACAGTTCTACCAGACTGGGTTATTTATGTGTGCTCTTAAAAACAATGAGGAAACTAAACTTGCAAGAGCAGTCATCATAACAAAAACCAAACATTTAGTGCACCAGAAGTGTGGAGAAACTACAAATTGCACACTAACCTCAATCCAAGGAAACCTACAAGACTGTAAGTTTCTGACGGCAAGTTGCCTCATTATGTCCAGATCTCCAGAGCTGGAAAGCAAGTGCATAAAAGTTTTGCACCCCCATGCCCTCTGCTGCTCATCAACTCCCCAAAATAAGAGTCATGCAAAGACCAGCTGCTCAGCCTACTCGTCTCATACCCAAAACAGAACGTAAAGGCACAAAACCCAGTAAAAACCTGAACTTCCCCCCTCTTCCCCCAAGGGACAAGCTCTTGAGAGAGAAGACATCTACACTACATCAGATTTAGGGGGGATAGCAAGGTGAAGGACTAAGTACATCCAAAAAAAACCTGATAATCCAACAAACTCATTGGACACAGAAGAACTGTAACGCTCTGCAGGTGGACGAGAGGGACGCACCGGGATCCTCTTCACCAGACTCCCACGCCAGCAAGCAACACTAAACAGGAGCTACAAGGCCCCTTACCAAATTTGGAGTAGAAGTAACACTCAGGCATCTTGGTCATGTCATACTCGTGCAGAAACTCGCACTGGTCACCCTTTTTGCACAGCCCCCGTAGCCAGTGTTTGCAGACAACCGTCTTCTCCCCGCTGATGTGTCTGAACGGGCACATGCCTCCTGCAGAAGGATGGGGCAAGAAGGAGGGGGGAAAAAGAACAAGTAAAATAAGGCATGAGAAGGCACAGGGCAACAGCCACACTTGGTTCTCCTCTGCAAGAGGTGTCTCAGAAGACAACATTTTTTCTTCATCACTTTTTATTATGAATTAGCCTTTAGCGGCAGTCCCAACAGGTCTGATGTTACCCTCTAAGGAGCAAGAGCTCTAAAAGTCTCTAGCTCTTAATCCCAGCAACCAACACAGGCAGATCCCCAGCATGGTTTGTGTGTGGCAAGTTTAACCCTTCATTTACCAGCAGCACTGCTTATTCACTTCCCAACTTCTTTTAAAAAATACCATGATTTCACAATTGCTGCTGTTACTGCAACCTTCTTCAGTTATTTTTCTCCATCTAAGTTGTCCCTTCATCCTTACAAAACCCCAGAAGCACTGCAGACAGTGCAAGAGAGCCCAGCTTTCCCCCCCACCCCATAATTTTACTGGAACTGTCACTTGCCTTTCCCGCATGCCGCTTTTAAAAAAAACTCACAGACCGCCGCCCCCGATTCTGTGAAGAGAGCAAAGAAAAAACAATCACTTTTAACAAGGTTTCATGGCAACTTTTTAAATATTTCCTTCCTCAGCAAGACAACCTGGTCCTCAACATCAAAAGAACAGCAGTGTGTTGGCTGGGGGAATTCACTTCCCACGTAAGTTCCTTGTTCAAGTCTGGCCCTCAGAAACACCTCCATGTGCTGAGGGACACCAAGGGGAACTGCCCAGGTTCAGACTCAGAACACCAGGGCTGGTGTCAGCTGGAACCAAGGATCATCTGGGCCAACCTTCTATGGCAGAAGCCTGGTCTGGATGGCCCAGCAGAGGGGTTTGGCAGTGCTTGTTCTGCTTCTCAGATGTTTACGTTTTGTTGACTGAGTTTTCCTCTGCTGTTAAGTCAGTCATGTCAGTGCACTCTGGATTTACAGCCCTGGCAACAACAGCCTTCTATTTTTTGACCAGAACAGCCCGAAACAACCCTTGGCATGTTATCCTGTTATCCCCTGCTGATGCTGACAAACAGGAACCACAACAGTCAAGGGAGTGAAAACAAAAGTTTAGCAGCCTGGCCAGAATATTTCTGCAAACTATGTGTCTCCCAAGAATACCTGTATCAGATTATTAGGCTGCAGGAAAAGGTTTAGAGGCTACAGATACATCTAAAGCCAAAGGTTCCCTACCATCAAAATGCCACATCCTTCAAAAAGGAATTTTAAAAAAAAAAAAAACAAATAGAATCATAAAGGCGATTTGTG